AAACAAGCCAGACATCAAGACACACTGAAAGAAACAGGGCCAGAGCAGAGGACTAAAAACTCCTGGGTCCCAAACTCTTCAGAACCACGCAGAACAACTATGGCCGATCTCTTACTCATTTTTCTTGCATACACGCAGACTGCAAGATAGTCTGATACTGGTCATATGCATTCAAGGAAAAGGCCTTCCTCTGCTACAGAGCCACCCAACTCTGGAAGACACCTCCAGTTCCTGAAGGTTTGTATCCTCAAAATCCTTCTGTGGGCCCAAGCCAGAGCGAGCTTTCCAGCCTTTGCCCGGTCTCGGCAATGCATGTTTTCATTCTAGTGCAAACCACGTGGGGCAGTAACTCTATGCCTCCACACACCTCCCAGAACACCGCCACCTCTGTGGAGGCAAGGAAACAAGATCATCAGACCTTGTATCTCCTGCTTCTTGCACTGTTGGCTCAGCTGAACCAAAATGATCCAACCATCACCACCAACAAAACAAATCAACTTCAAAACCTGAGACTTTCCTAGGATATGCCAATTTCCAATCAGGTCACCACAACTTAAATGTATGAAAAGGGTGGGTTTGCAGAAGAGGGAGCACAAAACTTAGCCTGTCAGCTCTGTCATCCACAGTCCTGGTGATACCCATCCCCTCTGGGCCTCTAAGTTTTGTATTAAAGTGAAAGGGTTAACAAACTGACTCCTAAGGTCAATTTCAACTCACAGATGGGAGGCCCTGGCATGGTTACCCTGGTTCCTATTTGCAATACTGGGAGTTCGCACAGACTTCTCTCTGTGATGATGTCAGAAATATCTGGGACATTGTGCAAAACCCAGTGTCCAGAACTGCTGGAAAATAACTTCCCCAAGTGAGTGTGGGACCTGAGAGGCCCAGAGCTACCCAGTGAGTAAGAAGGGAGGTGCCCCAGCAGGGGTAGAGGGTGGTCCAGTCCTCCCAAGCAGGGCTGGGGTGCCAGGCTGGTTCTGAGGAACCTGGAACAAATGTAAAGGAAGAGGGACTGTGTGCCCAAAATAGCCTTCAGTGGGCCAAGGGTGACCGTCGGCAGTTACACAGCCTCTGGGATGGCAGAGTGAAACTGAGCCCCAGAATCCAAAATAGTTTTGGGTGCCCGGCTGCAAAGCAGTGGAGCATTGGCACTGAGACTCGAATGCAGGCTTTCATGAGGCCCACGTCTGAGCTCCTGACCAAATGAGAGCAGGTGGGGGCTCTCAGTCTCATGTCTACAGAAGAGGGTCAGGGTGACATTCCCACTCGAGTGACCCAGCTGACCAAAAGCCATGTGGGAGCCTTCTAAAATTCTTCCAGAGCACGCCTGCAGAGTACGCGCGCACACGAGACTCACCAGAAAGTGCGACACCAGTGCCCTTTATCTGGCCCCACCTTGCACATTCAGTTACTTGTAACCAATCACAGTCCAAAAAGACTACATGGAGAATTCCAGAATTAAGTAATTCCCACGTTTTAGATAACCTGTATTACAGTTATTGCTATAATTGTTGTATTTCATTATTAGCTATTGCTAATCTCTTCCTGTATCTAGTTTATAATTAAACGTTATCATAGCTACATACATGTAGGAGAAAACACGGCACCTTTGGATTAGGGCTGGTCCTATCCAAAATCTCAGACATTCACTGGGGTCTTGGGACCTATGTGAGGATGAGGGGCTACTGCAGAAGGACAAGATGACTGGTGGGTTGTATTTTTCTTTTTTCTTGGATGCTTTCTGTGGCGTGGGAGTGGTGTGGGGTGAGAGTTAAGGTTTAGATCCCATAGAGCAAAGTCCTGTCTGGGTGTTAATCCTTTGAGTCAACATTGTCCTAACAGCAAGGTAAGCTGAGGAGGGTCATTAAGCTCACTTCCTGAGAGGCTCCTTCCTGGGGGCCTGCTGGCCACCTGCTGGAGGGGGTGCAGTGCCCTGGCCTGGGGAGACATTGGTGGGAGGGGCAGACAGAGGCCCATTGGGGCCAGGGCCCAGCAGGGCCCTGAGCATCTGGGACTGGATGCTTTCACACAGGGATCCATTCCCCCTACTTGGGGACCAAAGGCTTCTGATATGGGTGGCTGGAAACTGTGGGGGTTCCAGGACTTCAGGAATGCTGGTGAAGGCAGCTGGGGGTGGGAATATTGTCCTAGCTGCAATCAGCATGACAACATGCAGCCAGGTCTGGTGCACAGGCCTAAAATTCCAAGAAAGGGAGGAAGAAAGGAGGAAAAGGAAACAGAAATACAGCCTTAGGCTTTAGTTTTACAAGGTGGCCACTCTGCATCCTGCTTTGTACTCTGGGAAGCTGAAGCAGGAGAATCATAAATTCAAGCCCAGGCTAGATAACAGAGGGAGACTTTGTACCAAAAGTTTTTTTAAAAACGGCGGGGAATGTAGTTCAGTGCCACAGCCCAATCCCTGTTACCACCAAAAGCAAAAACAAAAAACAGACAAAAAAACCAGCAGCTCAGAGGCACAAGTGGGTCCACACCCTCAAGAGTCCCTCAGACATCACCTCCAGCAGCACTTCCCGGTCTCCCCAGCGCCTGGCTTCCGGTCATGGGAGGGGGGAGGAGGGAGCCCCTGTTCAACCCTGCCAGCCTTGGCTGAGACAGCAGCACACACACCAAACCGAGGGAAAGCATTTCCCAGTTTGTGGGACATGGGAAAGTCAGGAACAGGGGCCTTCCATTCATGCTTTCTTTTCTTTATTCAGCAGAAACTGCATGACAGAACTGTCCCCTGGAGAGGCGCGCGCGCGCGCACACACACACACACACGCACACACGCGCGCACGGAGTGTGAACACATGAGAACACAGGACACATCTGCACACACACTCACTCACAATTCCATGTAATCTCTGTTCTATAGGGAAGCTTTTGGAGAGAGTGCTAATGACCCTAGTTTACAGATAGGAAAACTGAGGCAGAGGGGTTGTCTCCTGCTCAACTTCAGAGACAGGCACGCGATGGGAGACTAGCAGACGACCTCCTCACTCAGCACTTGGATGTGGGCAGAAGCAGGGGCACAGGTGATCTCTTCCCCCTCATCATCAATCTGGAGATCCCAGACACTGGCCGGTGCCTGGTGCCCCGCAGGAAGGGGAGGAGCGTGTGAAAGGCAGTGTGAAGGACTACAGTCAGAGGCCTCGGTCCCTGAGGTCCACCACTGAGCCACGCGGCGGTTCCCATAGAAGCCAGCAGGGGGCAGTGCACCTCGCCTTTTCGAGCTTCTTTCTCGGCCTCGCTCCACCAGCAATGAGTAAAGAAAACCAGAGGGGACCGACCGCAGCTTCTAGGAACAGGTCCGGAGCAGACAGAGCGCGCACGTAGTAGGTGCTCAAGGCACAGCCAGAAGCCACAAAGGCTGGACCGGGTACACGAATTTTAATTCAGTAGTGGAAATAGGAAGTGGAAGGGGATTAGGGGCCTCACGCCCTCCGCCGGCGTCCACCACGCCGCGGGATTTACCCTGAACACAGCAGCGTTAGCACCTAGTACCTGCCAGGGCGCCGGCGGCGACAGGGCACTGCCGTTTTCCTCCTCCGCGCCTCCTTCCGTCCCCCTCTTCTTCCCAACACAGACAACCGCGGGGCGGGGGTGAGCGCTCGCTGTCTCCGGGGAAACCATCTGGGCGCAAACTGGCTAGGCGTGGGGACCTGAGGGGACGTGCGAGGGAGAGGCGAGGGGTCCCCAGAAACACGCGTGGGATCCCAGCGAAGGCGACACCGCGAGTTCGTCCCTGCCTTCAGGGTCAAGTTGTGTCCCGCGGGGCCGGCTGGGCCGGCGGAAGCTGTGGCCGGCCCGGTCCCCCCACTCGCGCGCTTCTGGGCCCTCACGTGACCCCTCACTGGGCGTCCCCGAGCCCCGCGCGGGGTGGGCGTGGAGCGGCGGGGACCTTCACGAGGAGGAAGCAGAGACTCGGGCCGCAGCGGTTGGGACGGCCGAGGAGGCGCGCTGAGCCCCCGGCGCAAGTTCAGGGCTCTTCCTCCTGCAAGGTCACGCTCAAATAGTCAAGCCTGGAGAAAGTCCGAGCGGAAAGCTGCGCCGCCGTCCCGGTTCTGAGCGGGCTGGACCCACTTCTAGGCGCCTCACCCCGGGTCGCCGCCGCGGAGATCGTGCGCTCGGAAGAGGGCAGACCCTGCCCGCGGGTTGCGCACGCGGGAGGCGCGCGCAAGTTGCTAACTTTTGTCACATTATTTCTCGGCAGCTGCGGCGCCTGACGGCTGGGGCGGGCTTGGGGGTTTGACTTGCCACCACCCCACCACCCCCGCCGGGCTCCCTTCGCCCACCCAAGCCCTCCTCTTCCCTTCTTCCCTCACTCCGCGTCCAGCTGCCCCGTCCCAGACGCCAACTTCTCCCCGGATGCGGAGCGGCGCAGGCTGCAGGCGTCCCGGCGCCCACAGCCTCTTCCCTCCCGGGTCTGCGCCCGCTCACGGCCGGGGGGACCCCATCCAGATACATCCCAGGCCTCTGGTCCGACCACCGGCGGCCTCCACGCGCCCCGGCGGAGTCCCACCCGAGTCCCTTGTCCACTCCAAAGGCCCGGGACCTGCTTCCCCGGGATCGCGACCCGCGGCGGCCCAGGCCGGTGAGACCACCCGGGTCCGGGACGCAGTGTCGCTGGGGCCGCTCGGGGACCACTGCCCCGGCCGCGGTTAGGTTCCCCGCAGCTCCTCTGGTGAGCCCCCAGGACCGCGCGTCATTCCTCCCCGCAGACCCGGAGATCACCACGGCCGGGAGGGTCTCCCTGCGGTCTCACTTCCTCCCGGGGCGGGGTCCTCAGTTCCACCTCCACTGTCACTCTCTCCTGGTCCGGGCCGGACAGTCACCCTGCACTCGGAGAACACAAGCGGAACTGCCAGCGCCCCGAGGCGCGCAGACACAGCCCCCGCGCACCGGGCAGCGAGGGACCCCGTGCTCAGCCTGCGGAGACTCCAGGAGTTCCCGGGGGCGGGACGCTCTCCGAGGAGTCCCGGAGGGCGCGGAACACTCACCCCGCGGCTCACATCGCCCCCGGCGCCTCTGTGTCCTCGCCTTCCTGCTCTCTCTCCTCGCTCTGCTCGGGGGCTCTTTGTCTTTGCGAAGTGTCGAAACCGTCTGGCATAGTGGGGCTCCGGCGGCGAGGCCAGTGCCGGGCCGGGAGGTGGGGTGAGGATGGGAGCGGCCTCGGAAACCTTCCCGAGAGTAACGGGAGCGGGGCGGGGCCACGGGCGGGGCCGCCTCCCGGCCGCCGGGCGCACGGCCCTCCCCTTCCTCCGCTCGGCCCGCCCCGCGCCGCGTCCTCGCGCCCTCTCGGGCCTCGGCTGGTCCGGCCCGGCGGGGCTTTCTGCCGCCGAAGGTAGCTCTGCGGGCCACGTGGACGCCGCGGGGCCGGGCTGAGGCCGGCGGGGAGATCCTGGCGGCCGCGGTGGCGGTGCGGGGACGGATCGCCGGCCGAGGAGGAGCTCGGGGACAGCTCCGCCGCCACCGGCGAGGCCCGGGAAGAGCGCCGGGGGCCCGGGGCCCGTGGGCTCGGCCCAGGGGAGGAGGCGATGGGCGCGCACCGAAAGAAGGTGCCGGGGCCAAAGGGGGACCCTCCCCGGACTGGCGACCGGCAAAGCCACTGACTTCCCCTGAGAGAGTGGGACTCGAGGTGGGACTTAGGGAGGCGCGGCGGGGCCCTGGGACTGGGGAGGCCGGGCTCTCCGCCCCGAGGGGCTTCGCCCTAGGCCAGAGGCTGCAGCCAGACCCAAGCCTGGGAGCCTGGCGTAGGCTGGTCCGCGGGAGAGCGGCTGGGGCTCTGGCTCCACGGTTTGGAAATTAGGTTTGCCCTCCCCGTCTTTGAGGAACCTGAGGGCTGCGGGGATTTATTTTGCCTAAGGGCAGAATGCTGGCTCAGTGCTGTAAACAAGATTTTAGAGGCATTTCTAAAAAACCTGGTTTTGCAGCTTTTATCCTCTCTATGGGACTACCTCTTTGGCAACTTTTCCGTGGAATGTTAAGAGGAAGAGGGTGCCCAGGCCTTCGCTCATCCTGCAGCTCCCGCTGCTCCGGTGGAAGAGGACAACCCTGCCAGCCTCTCACCCACCTGAGGGCTGCGGTTGGGCAGAGACGCAGCCCAGTGCAGACGCTGCCAGGCAGCCAGTGGTGCATGGACCTGAGCTAGTTCTGAGTCTTTGTACGTTGCTTTCCTGATGAGGGCGTTAGAATAATGAAGTGGATTGCAGCAAGTTGAATACTGGCACTGGACTTTGAATCTGCTGCATGGTCAGTCCCAATTGACTGGGATTCTGCAGAGAAGGTCCGTGCCCTAGAGGGTCAGGTGGAGGCCCTAGGAAAGGCTCCAGGAGAGAAGATACTGAACGCAGAGAAATCGATTTTAGGGGAGAAGGAATATTAACCATTAGAAAGGGAAGGAAAAGAGGACTAGAGACACACAGACAGAAAGTGAGAGAACAAAGCAAAAAGTACACAGGTATGCAAGTCTTACGACTTGTGCTTAAATGTCTCTAAAGCCTCGTGGTCAGAGGTGGGCTTTTCAGAGGTGGCTCGATCTAGAGTGTGTGATGCTGGGATTGACTCATGGTGCAGTGCTAGACTCAAGGGCCCTAGGACTAAGGGTGTGAGTGCTGCCCATCCTAAGTACCTGGATAAAAGGGGCTGAAAGACTGTTAGGTCCCTTGTTGCTTTGCTCCCTTCTGCCCACCATGAACTGTTGTTGCCATTCTGTCTTGGAGTCAGCTGCCTGTGGACTGAAACCTCTACAAACTGAGCTAAATAAACCTTTCCTCCTTTAACTTTGGAGGCTGGTAATTTGTCTCAGCAAGGAGAAAAGTAACTAAGACAACAAACCTCCTCCCAGCCACCCTGGGGGTCTTTTTCTTGCTCCCAGGAGTTTGAGAGAAAAGGTTGGGTGTTTCATGACCTGCCCAGAGCCCTCTTGCCTGAGCAGTCGGTTTTGGTTTTGATGCTAAAAGGGGGGGGGGGGGATCGGACCTTCCTGGAAAGAGCTTTGCTCTTTCTGAAACTCTGGTGAAATTTTGCTGCCCCCTAATACTCCCCAGCATGCTTTGTGGGGGAGAGAGAAAGCAGACTTCGAGGACACCAGCTCTCTCCGGCATCTTCCAGCAGCATCTTCTAGCATGGATCATCGGGTTTATTAGCACACAGAGCTACAGCTCAGACATCACTCAGATCACAACTTGGGTGGCTACCCTCCTGGCCTCACAGGGACCACTGTGTCCCTAGCTGTGTGGCCAGGCTTGCTGTGCATGGGAAGGTGCTGTGCATTACTCCCTGCTGAGTGCAGTTCTTGGCTGGGTATGTGGTAGATCCTCAGTAAAGAGTCAGATACTGGATGAATTAGCAAACGAAGTGTTGCTTGCAAGGAGAGTGGAAAAATACTGTACTAATGTTAAGACTGTACTACTGTATCCTAGTGCATTCTGTGGAGAGAGGTATTCGCTGGGCAAATGAGTATCCCCTGCTCATCCAGCTGTTGCAGTCTGCACCCACTTCATTGCATCCCTGGGTTCTTGGCAGGTCCCCTGGCAGACTCCAAGGTGAGATGAAAGTTCCCTGTCAAGTGAGGCTGTGCTGAAACACAGCAAATATCTTGTCTATCAAGGATGAATGTCAGATGCATCTCTTCCCAGTCTGGTGGGTTAACCCAGGCGAGGCCTTTTCTCTGACCCACTTCCTCTCCACTAGAACATATTTCTCCCAGGAAGCAGAGAGCGCTTCTCTCCCCAGTCCTCTTTCATCTTTCTTTCCCCTCCCTCCCTTCCTCCCTCCCTCCTCTCCCTTCCCTCCTTCCTTCCTTTGTTCTTCCATCCTTCCTTTCTATTTTCTTTGTTGTGGTGATATTCCCTGCAAGCAGCATTTCTGACACCTGGGGCCATTTCCAGGAGAGAGCTGGAAACATGGAGCTGTGTGCCAAAGGTGTGTGCCTGCCTTCCTTTCTGTCACCCTGGGTGTGCCTCCCAGCACACCCTGGAGGAGAACAGCCATAATGGTCCTTGTGGGGAGTGCCTGCAGAGCATCTCGAGCCCTGACATTGATGCAGTGCTCACCGCCACCTCCCACGTGTTCAGAGCTCCAGCAGGGCTCTCAGTAATGATGGTTACGGAAATTGATTGCCTTCTACCCCTCTTCCTTGGCAAGACCCTAATGGTTGCTGATCCCCTTTGAGCGACTGCACAGCGAAGGGTGGGGCTTCCTGGCTGGTGGGGAAGTGTGCAGAGGGGGAGGCACATGGACAGTGCTATCAGTTCTCGGGGTTGTGTACAACTCCAGTGGCCTTAGGAAGAAGAGGGTGTGCAGACTGAAGCTATACCTGGGAAACTGAAGGACAGGCTGCTGTCTCCATGTGGCTGTCTCTCCATGTTCCTGTGAGGGTCCTGTGTGTGCCTGTTCTCCCCTTGTCCACAGGCTTTCTCTGCGGAGGGAGTCCTGGGACAGCCCCTGAAATTCTCTGCGCCTCTCCACTGTGGCAGCTGTTGAAATAATCCTTTTAATTCCACTCTTCCCTGTGGATCCATGCTGTATTTTAGGTTTGTGAGGAGAGGAATCTGATTGACAGGCCTCATCCTCAGGGTCATGGGTCACCCAGCCAACCTGCTTGGGCTCCCCAGGCAGCTTGTGTCCACTCCCTGGGTGACCCTGGGAGATCTTGTGCTTAGAGCCTCCAGTATCCCCTGCTCTTGATCCCCGAGGATCTTGGCAGGCACTGGTTAGCAGAGCTAGTTGGCAGAAGTCATACAATGTACATTCCTCGCATATATTAGACCCAGGATCCACGCTAAGCTTGCTCATTAGTCTCAGGCAGGCACTCACGGCCACCCTAATCTCTTCACTAGAAATTGGCTCAGGAGTGAGATTTAATCCCTGTTTGGACCACCAAGATGAGATGAATATGCTCAAGTTTTCTAGCAAACAAATGTTCTTAAGAGTAAGCCCTGAGCCAGACATGGTGGTCCACACCCATGATCCCAGCACATGAGGAGGCTGAGGCAGAAGGATCACAAGTTTGAGGCCCCTCTGTGCCACACAGCAACGTGTCCAGGCCCTATCTCAAACTAAATAAAAATAAATGAAGTCTGAGTTTACAGCTCAGTGAGAAGGCCCTGGTTTCATTACCCGGTAGAGAGAGAGAGAGAGAGACAGACACTAATGGGGGGGGGGGGGGTCCTGGGAATGTGCCCAGCTGTGGAACACTTGCCTAGGAGGTGGAATGTCCTAGGTTCAATCCCTAGCTCTGCAAAAAGGGAAAGAAAGGGCCCTCAATGTTTTTCTTTCTAGGAGACATCTTGGTCTCCTGAAGGAAGTCGAGTGGAAGACAAGTTCCTAGAGAGTGGGGTTTGTGGTTATGCATGTCCCCCAGGGCTTCCTCTGTCAGAGCTGTGGCCACCAGGGTGGAAGTTCTGGGAGGTGCTGTGGATCTTTCAAAAGTGATCCCTGTGAGTGGTTCTGAGCTCCGGGGCTGCCCTTGAAGGGGACTGTGGGACCCTGCCGTTCTCTTGCTGCTGTGTGTGGGGACGTGTGTGTTCCCCCCAGGATCCCAGTGTGAGTGTCGCCATCCACTGTCCTCACCAAAGGCTAAAGCACCAGAGCTGCCGGATCCTGGAGCCAAGCCAACCTTGCTTTGCCTCACAGGTAGTCTGTGTCAGGCATTTTGTTGTAGTAATGGGAAGCGGACTACTACATAAATAGATCCACGGTCTGGTCACACTGTTCCTAACCTTACCTCCAGACTTTCTGTTGAGTGAGTCAGTGGAAACACTTTGTTTAAGCCACTTTAGGTCATGAGTCTACTGCTTGCAGCCAAGCACCTGAGAATTACAAGAAGATTCATTTCCTCCAACTTCTTTCCCTAGGACATTCCCCAGCTTAAAATCCTTAACACATCTCAATGGTTTTCCACTCCCTAGGAAAATAAGTCCAAATTTCTGAGGCTAGCAGTAAAGGTTCTTTTATTTTTTCTTCTCGGTACCGGGGATTGAACCCACAAGGCCTTATGCTGAGCTACATCTCCAGCCCTTTTTAGTTTTTATTTTGACACAGAGTCTCACTAAGTCAATGAGTTGCTGAGGCTGGGCTTGAATTTGCAATGCTCCAGCCTCAGCCTCCCAGAGTTCTGGGACAACAGGCACGTGCAACCACACCCCGTTTAAGGCCTGGTGTGTGCTTCTCACGTGTTATCTTCTAACACTTCT